ATCAGGAGTCGTCCAAGTTTTTGTTTAAACAACTTTTTTTTTTGTAAGATTTTATTTATTTATTCATGAGAGACACACAGAGAGAGAGAGAGAGGCAGAGGGAGAAGCAGGCTTCCAAGGAGCAGGGAGCCTGATGCGGGACCCGATCCCAGGACTCTGGGATCATGACCTGAGCTGAAGGCAGACGCTTAACCATCTGAGCCACCGAGGTGCCCAACAACTTTTTTTTTTTCAATTCTTTTGGGCAAATACCAAGGAACAGAATTACCAAGTCATTCGGTAATTCTATGTTTAACCTACTGAGGGACCACCAAACTTTTTCCACAGCAACTGCACCATTATGGACCTCTAGCAATGTATGAGATTTCTGATTTCTCCACATCCTTTCCAACACTTATTTTCTGAGATTTTTGAATTTTCTTTTCCAAGCTGTCCTATGGGACGTGAAGTGGTATCTCACAGTGGTTTTGATTTGCGCTTCTCTAATGACTGATGATGCTGAGCATCTTTTCATGTGCTTGTTGGCCATTCGTATCTCCTTTGGAGAAATGTCTATTCAAGTCCTTTGCCCATTTTCAAAGTGGGTATTATCTTTTTGTTGCGGAGTTTAAGAGTTCTTTTTTTTTTTTTAAAGATTTATTTATTTATTTGAGAGAGAGAATGAGATAGAGAGAGAGAACATGAGAGAGGGGAGGGTCAGAGGGAGAAGCAGACTCCCTGCCGAGCAGGGAGCCCGATGTGGGACTCGATCCCGGGACTCCAGGATCATGACCTGAGCTGAAGGCAGTGGCTTAACCGACTGAGCCACCCAGGCGCCCAAGAGTTCTTTATACATTGTGGATATTAGACCCTTATCAGATACGACCTTCAAATGCTCTCTCCCACTCTGTGGGTTGTCCTCCCCATCCCTTGATAGGGTCCTTGATGCACAAACATTTTACATTTTTATTAAGTCCAATTCTTCTATTTTTGTCTTTTGTTCCTTGCTTGTGCTTTTTGTTGTCATCTCTAGAATCCAGGGTCAAATCAAGGTCATGATTTGTTTTCTCCTAAAAGTTTTATGGTTTTGTTCTCCCATTTAGGTCTTTAACCCATTTTGAATTAGCTTTTGTATATGATCTAAAGGGCCCAACTTCATTTTTTTGCATTTGGATATTCTGTTGTCCCAGAACCATTCATTCAAAAGATTCTTCTTTCCCCAAGGAATGATCTTGGCATTATTATTATTTTTTTAAGATTATTTGAGAGAAAGCGTGCACGAGCAGGGGGAGGGGCAGAGGGAGAGGGACAAGCAGACTCCCTGCTGAGCAGGGAGCCTGATATGGGGCTTGATCCCACAACTCTGAGATCATGACATGAGCTGAAGTCAGACGCTTAACCGACTGAACCACACAGGTGCCCCTTGGCATTCTTGTCAATAACCAATTGCCCATGAATGTGTAGGTTCATTTCTGGACTCTCTATTCCACTGATACATATATGTCTAGTCTTAGGCCAGTAGGCAGTCTTGATTACTGTAGCTTTATAGTAAGTTTTGAAATCAGAAGTATGCATCTTCCAACCTTGTTCTTCTTCAAGATTGTTTTGGCTATTTAGGGTTCCTTGCAATTCCACATGAATTTTGAGATCAGTTTTTCCATTTCTGCAAAAAAATAAGGGCTATTGGGATTTTGACAAGGATTACACTGAATCTACAGACTACTTGGGGGAGTACTGCCATCTTAATATTAAGTGGAAGATGACTTAATCTTAACAGCAAAATTACAAATGCCATTATCAACTTTATTGGAGAAAATACTATTTTGCAGTTGAGGGCGTACATCTGCATGGAATCTCCCCTTAAACTCACCTAACAAAATTAATAGAACTACATCACACAAAAGGTAGCAGTGGTAGACTGGGAGAAACGCAACATAACCCAGAATGACTTCTGTACACTCTGAAATGTAAAAAAGTCCTTCCATCTGATTTCAGCAATTTTAGCAGTGTAGGAAACAGGGTTATACAAGAATAAATAAAAGTTTATGTGACCAAAGAACTGAGGAGACAGACAATTCTCCTTTGTTCAATCTGCTCTCTCCCCAACTCCTGCCAAGATAAATGAGAGGGAGCTGGGCAGGTTTTGGTTTTGTGATTTATAACCAAACCACAGACTTGGGACAAGGGCCTTTCACTTCTTCCATGGAACTGTTTAAAACCTTAACTCAGTGAAAGATGCCCAGTTTCCAAAAAGGAAACATTTCAGGAGAGTAAGCAAGTGATAATCAGCATATTCAACTTTTGCCTATTTCCCCTGGACCCAAAAATGATCTACTCCTAAGGGCTTTGAAAACAGAGCCTCTACTTGGAGTAACACTCCTTACACTGTGTCTAAAATTTTCCATACACTTCTGCAACCATTTTCTCTTTCTGATAAACTCTGTAAGGTTTATTAAACATAACCTTTTAATATATTAAATGTTCCTTCATGTCCCTGGTTTTAGTGTTTTAGCAGTGCAGTTCTGCTACAAAGGCTGGCAGTTAACATGTGGTATTCCCAATGAAGTAACATGGACGTAATAACATTGTCTCTGGACACGTCGCTCAGCTTCGTCACAGGCTACTTCTGCCCAGTTCCAGTGGAACAGTGTGAACCTCAGAGCTTCTGCTGGAGAGAAGTCACAATAGGGTCCAGGTCAAGGCAGCTCCCATGGTTCACCCCGGGCCAAAGAGAAAGTTGCCCCAGAACTTTGTTCCTTGAAGAGAGAAACTATATCTAACTCTAAATCCCAATAACCTCTCATCCAGCTTTTGGCATCTCTTTTACACTTAGCCTATAAGATTGGATCAGTAGGTATCAATTAAATATAGTGATCATCAGTATCTAATCTAAAGATCATTAGAATCACCTGCGAAACTTTCAAAAGATACAGGTTGTTAGGGTTGCCCAAGATTTATTCAGCAGATCAAAGAGTGGTATCCAAGCATTTCCAGGTTAACATATTCCACAGGTAATTCAGTTGAGAATCTAAGTCTTCTAAAGAACACTTCCTTCTCTAAAATACACTTCGACTAACTAATTTTCCTTAAGAGAATAATATGGCCAGATTTTTTTTTCTCCCACAGGGGAGGGTTTTCTTCCCCGGGGCCTCTAAGAGATCTGAGTCCTAAACTGGGCTCAGGCCCCACATTTCCAATACAACTAGACAAAAATCAGCACCACCTTTACAGCTGGCCTTCATATCAACCCAGTCATGTATATTAATCACTTTTTTAAAATTTTGTGTCTTACCATGTTCTGACATCTTAAAAACCTTGCTGGTGGGGAGAGACAGCCCTTCCCAGGGCTAGCTAATTCCTAAAGATGGGGATCAACTTACTTGGGAGCAGCCTCTCACTCCTCTCACAATCAACTCCTTTAATACTCACAGACCAGACCAATATCTTCTCAGCCCTAAATCATCCCAGGGCCAGGGACCAGGCAACCAGAGACCACTGCTATAGCCCAAAGCCCACCAGAATTATTGAAACTAGCCTAAACTGTTTCCTCTGGCCTGCCTCACCTTTCTCAAAAATGAAGGCTCTGACCTAGGTTTTCCCCGTCTCCTGCTCTGCCTCTTGATCAAAACCTTCCCTGTGGCCCCATGTGGCATGGGGCATACCCTCTTCTATCTGGAAATATAACAAATTCTTCCAATGGCATTGGCCTATGTTGTCACCCAGTCACCTCTATAAATTAAAACCCTGCGGGTACAAATGAGACACTCCACTCCAACCATGCCTCTGTACTGCCACTACTCTTGTGCTGTTCACTGAACTAATCCAATTGGAAACCATATTACAAAGTAACCTAGGTTTCCAAAACCATAAAGAAAAAGCTCTTGGGAGTCCTATTAGCATTTGAAACTCAACACTCGCAACTAAAGGTAGTATGACCCAGCAATTACATTCTTAAGTATACACCCAAGAGAACTAAAAACACACAACTCCTACAACATTGTTCACAGCAGCATTATTCATAATAGCCAAAAAGTCCACCAACGGATAAACAGAATGTGGAGTATCCATACAAGGGAGTATTATTCAGCCACTAAAAGAAAAACCAATTCATGCTACAACATGAACGGACCTTAAAGACATTGTGTTAAGTAAAAGCCAGACCAAAAAAGGCCACAGTGGCATTTATAAAAAGTGAACAGAATAGGCAAATCCACAGGAACAGTCGTTTGCTGGGGCCAGGGTGCTAGGGGAGATGGGAAGGCAGAAGGGGTAGTATCTGCTCCTGGATAGAGGGATTTCTATTTGGATTTGCAAAATGTTCGGGAATGACATGGTGAGGACTGAACAACCTTGCAAATGTACGAAAAACCAATGAATTGTACCCTTTAAAGAGGTGAATCTTACGGTGTTACGTCTTGAAAACAAACCCAGCTAAAAGTATTCTCGTCCTTCCAAAGCTGCTCCTTCTCCTGTGTTCATTATTTCAGTAAATGGAACCACACTCCACTCCAGACGCTCAAGCCAGAAAGCTACAAATCTTAACGCGAACACCTAAGTACTTCTCCATCCTTTCCGCTCCAACCTCCACTCCAGGCCACGCTCACTTCTCCTGTGGATCACAGCCTTCTCCCAATGGCTCCCCCGGCCTCCAGTCTTGCCTCTCCAGATCCTTCCTCAGGTGCGCCGGGGCTCCAAGCACCACCTGCAGCTAGAAGGTCCTCAAACTGGAGCCCGCGGCGAACCCCGCCGGCGGCACTTGACCGCGCGCACCAGCCAGCCCCGAGGGCGGGCGGCCGCTCCCTCATGCGGCCCCGCCACCCGACCTCCCGGCCTCCGTACGCTCGCTACCACCTCGGCCGGGGGGTTCTCTGGCCCCGACCAGTCGCGCTCGGCGCGTCTCCAAGACGCTCCCTCGGGCAGGTGCGCCCCGAGGGGCCGTCCCTGCCTCCGCAAACATTTCCTGTGGGAACCGTGGTGGACCCAAACTTCGACTACATACTGCGGCGTTGCCCTTAACTTACCCTGCCTGTTACTCAACTTAGCAGACTTCGCGGGACGCCGCGCACACTTAAGCCACTCGGGCCTCGAGCGCCGCACTCAGCCGAGCCACGCCCGCCTCGAGCCGTCCGGAAACGCTCCCAGCCGCGCGCCTGGACCGCGTAGGACGACGGGAAGCGGGCGTCTCGGGCCGCTCCGCGCCTGCGCGGGCGCTATCCTCCGCGAGGGGCGCTGGTTGGCGCATGCGTAGGCGCGAGGTTCTCCGTTGAGAAGGTGCCTCGGCGGCGCCGGAGGTAGGAGGAGTCGGGCTTTGGGGCTGGGAGTCTGCAGTCTGGAGAAGGTCCAGTCGTCTAGGGCCTTTCTCGCTGCCGGGGGTGAGGAAGAAGAGCCTTTCTAGCTCGCGGTGTAGCGGCAGGAGCCGCGCTCGGGTGGAGGGGGCTGAGGCCGCCTGGAGGGAGGAAGGGTGAGGAGGGGATCGGGTACCCACCGGGTCACTGCCCGGGGGTCAGGCTGGTGATCGGAAATCGCCGTCCGGCTTCGTAGCCGCCAGAGTCGTTGGCAGTTCTCCCCCAGGCCTAGCCCCCCGCCCGCTTGCGGTGTGTGTCACCGGGTCAGGGGGAGCGGGAGGGTCCGCCCCGCACTGCCCACTCATTCATTCCGCGCCAGCTGCGAGCTGGGCGGCCCGGCGGGTACCGAGCCGGCGTAGACTCAAGTCCCCAGCCCTCCGGAAACTTGCTGCGTCCTTCGGCAAATACTGAGCGAGCACGTATAGGAGGTGGGCTGTTGTCGGACTAACGTCACAGGCCCGTGGAGACTCCGCGGGGTGTGGAGGGTGGAATCTGCTCTAGCTCCGCACGTCCCACGGGCTCGATTCAGGCGCCCGGACACCGGTCGCTGCACTGATCCCTGCAGCCTCCTCCCACTGTACCAAAGTCTTTGCGGTTGAGTGACTGTACAAAAGTTGAGCTTTTTTTTTTACAAATCAGGTGTCTGATCAGCCAAAGAGAATATGGAGTAAAATAGATGAGTCTGTGCCCTCCTTCAGTTTTGAACTTAGTAGGGGACAGAAAATAAGTGAATAAAAATGTAGGTGTAGATGCCCTAGAACCACCTGCTTGGCTTTGATCTCAGCTCTGCCACTTCAAAAGTTGTGTAAAGTTAAGCCACTTCTTCATTCTTGGATCTGACTCCTTGCTGTAAAGGGAAGACAGTAGAGTCTAAGGAATAGGATTGTTGTTAGGGCTACATGAGTTAGACTTGTAAAGCAATTAGACCCATGCCTGGCCCATACCGTAAGCATTCGATAAATGTTATTACAAATGATTGTAATTTGTTATAAGTGTGATTGTGAAAACAATGTGTGATGACGGAAAATAATGGGCGTGGAGAGGGTCCACTTGGATAAAGGATTAGGGGAAGCTTCTCTAAGGAGGTGACATGGAAAAGGAGGATGGGCCGGGCCATGCGAAGTAGATTACAGGTATGCCTGTCTGCCTGGCTCCGGAAAAATAGGTGATTAATTGGACTACTCTGATGGAGGAGATTGCACTTTCTGTCACTGGGTCATTCAATTTTGAATTCTAAATCCCACTAAACTGTGCCAGTGTAAATAATTATGCCCATAAGGCCCAGGCTTTGCGGTGGTCACCATTCCAGTCACTTGAGTTTGGAGAGCTCATGCTGAAGTGAGAGAGGGTGGAGAAAAGTGGCCCTTTTTTGATTTGGAAACATTGCTCATATCAGTGAAGGATGAGCCTCTCCTGTCTTGTTTCTTCCCAAGCACTCAAGTGCGTATTCTCTCCATTGGCTGCCCTGCACATTAAGTTGCCTGTTGATAGGGCCTAAGAGTTTTTCTGCATTTGGCCATCATCTTGTTTCTGTGGTGACTGCCCTTCATGGGATTCATTCCCCAGATTTCAGTAAAAACCATACTCTTCCAAGATGCTCATGTTCTTCTCTGATGGGTTTTTAGATCCCTCCCCCTGTGTTGTATTGTGATATCCTGTAAGACCACGAGTTTGTGTTAACCAGGCTGTGGCTGAGTATTTGACACAGATATTGTTACTCTGAGGACTTTGCACATACCCCACATTCTCTTGTAGCTTCCTGGAAGAAATGGCATAAGATGCGGTGTCTGTCTAATTACGTTTAGATGCTTTTTGTTTTCCACAGATGTGACATTAAATGAACCAATGTGTTTTATCACTATGGAGATCTTGGAAAATCACCTGAGTGTGAAGTTCATATGTATCCTATCTCAGAGGCATCTGTTGGACAACAAAAGCTCTCAGATGTGAACTTTAAACATGCTGTTTAACAGGGACTCAATTTGAAGATAGGCATTTTAAATCCTTATGGAGGGGAAGGCACTACTTTTTGCTCAATTGTGCAAACTCTCCAGGTGTCCTAGTGAGAAGCAGAGAGGAGCCTTAATGGAGCTGCAAGTGTGAATGAGGCCCTGCTAGGCTTGTTCTCGGGCCCCCCAGATAGACCTCACACCTCTGAAGACCACCTGCAAACCTTAAAGCTGGCCAGATGATGGATGAGTCAGATGATGATTTTAAGGAACTCTGCGCCAGCTTTCTCCAAAGGGTGAAAAAGAATGTCACCAAGGAAGTGTCGGGGGAAAGGAAGACACAAAAGGCCTCCAACAGCACTCAGATAAGCAAACCGAAAAGGACCAAACCAACTGCTACCAAAGGCAAAACCCTTCAAGGCCCCAGGGAGAAGAAAACTCAGTCTGGCAGCCAGGCCCCGAGGACTAAAAAGCAAGGGGCACCCAAGGGGCAGAGGAGTGAACCCACTCCCCCTGAGAATGGAGAGGGAAATGTGCTTGCCTCTGCTGTGCTCCAGGAGGGTGTGCAGAGCACCCAGACAGGTAACTGGGCCAGAACCACTGCCAGGATGTTTCCAGAGAGGAAACCAGAGGTGACTGTACTGATCTAAACCAGGGGTCAGAAAACTTTCTGAAAAAGGCCAGACAGCAAATTATTTTGGCTCTGCAGCCTTGGTCTCTGCAACTTATCAACTCCCTAGACAATCTGTAAGCAAATGAATGGGCTGTGTTTCAACAAAACTTCATTAAGGAAAACAGGCAGCTCCCTGAGGACCATAGTTGGCCAACTCCTGTTTTAAACAGTGATTATAAAAAATATAACCCCTATGTGAATTTTCTACATGATTATGTTTGGGGCCCTGTGCCCTTTTAGAATTTCCTATTAATGTTTACATTATGTATTTGACACAAGTAACGTGAACATGAAAATAATGCTGCTTCTCTCATTTTCTTGAATTCCTTCCAGAGTGGGTAAGTTGCAGTGGTGCCAGCCAGTTAGGTAAGGCTGCTCAGAAGGCAGTAGGAAGCTGCCAGATAGGTTTAGATCTCAGGAGAATCTTTAGGTCCTTCCTTTTTTCCTCCAAACACCTTTGTTCTTTTCTTTTCCTTTGTTTGTTTGCTTGAAGCAGGTTTCCTACCCTGCTGCCTTTGGTGTACTGAACCATATGTTTAACATGCATTCTTCAAGCAGAACTGAGAACCAGCCTTGCATAGGATCTTTAGGCTCCTGTGTTCTGTTTCTAAATATTTCTCACCTTCACTTCCTGATCTTAAATGGTATTTTTTACTAGTGTGGTCAGCATGATCTCTCAATGGAATAGTGGTAAAGAATTAACTCGCAGAGACCGTTGTAAGGCTTCAGTAGTGTTACTAAAACATCATTGGTCCTTCAGGCCCCTTTGGGAGCAGTGAAAGCTATGCATGATTCCCCCGAAAACTGCCACCCCCCCACACCTGCGAAATTGGCATAAACCTGCAGGGTCTTCATGAATCCCCACCAGAGGCCACCTGTGGACACCAAGTTAGAGGAGAACTTATGACCTAGGAAGATAAAAATGTTTGTCATTAATATTTCTTTAATAACAGCTTTATAGAAAGAATTTACATTCTGTAAAACGTACCCTTTTAAAGTGGGCAGTTTAGTGGTTTTAGTGTATTCACAGAATTGTATAATCATTACCACTGGCTAATTTTAGAACATTTTTATCACTCCAAAAATAAACCCTGTGCTCAGTAGCAGTCACTCCCTGTGCCCCCTCCTGTCACAGATATTTATGACAGGTCTATTTATATTACCTCCAACGGTGAGGCTACCAATAATCAGTCCTCTCACACTTGAGAGTCAAACCTCAACTAGTTGGTAAGGGACCCCTTGAAACTTGGGTCTAACCTGTATCTGATGGAAGAGTCTTTGTTTCTCCAGCTAGAACAGATGCCTGTGAATGTTTCCCTCTTTGCCAGAGACTGCTCCAGACAGCAACTCCCAGCCCCCTCCTTCCTGTCTGACAGTGACAGCACCAAGTCCCTCCAAACCCCGGACGGCAGAGTTGGTCCTACAACGAATGCAGCAGTTCAAGAGAGCAGACCCCAAGCGTTTGCAGCATGCTTCGGAAGGGAGCTCTCTGGAGGCTACACTTGAAGAAAAGGCCCCAGAGGGCCCTCCAGAGGAGATGACAGCAGGGAATGGTATGATGGGAGTTTTGTATAGTCCCATCAGGGTTAAGTTCGAACTCTGGAGAAAGGCGGGGAGGAAGGAACCCGCATTCCTTGAGTTGCTGGTGGGGGTGTGTGCTCTGCCTGGCACTGTACCTTGGCCACTTCATTGTATCTAGCCAGAGAATGAAGGGTCCCTGGGGTCATTTAGCTTGGGTCACTTAGCTTCTTTGACAAGGTACCTCTTCCTCTTTTTATTTTGATCTTTTATTATGAAATTTTTCCCATAGAGAAAGGTAAAAAAAAAATACTATAATAAACCCCCATACCCTCAACCTGTACTTAACAATTGTTAACATTTTGCCATGTATTTTTTTATATCTCTAAATATATGATTCTTCTATACCATTCAAAAGTAAGTTCCAGACATCATGATACTTCCCCCCACAGATCTACATGATCACGGTGCTCTTGTCACACGTAATTCCATAATATTGCCTAGTGTCCAGTTCATATTAAAATTTACCCACTTGTCCCAAGGACAGCTTTATAGCTGGTTTCTTTTTTCCTGAGCAAGGATCCACCAGAACTGTAAGTCCCACACACTGCATATGCTATAGTCCATAGTCTCTTAAAGTCTAGACTCTGGAACAGTCCCCTTGTCTTGTCC